ATTTACCCATTTTCATACTTTTTTTTTATTAAAAGGTACAGTTTCGTTTCTTTCAAAGAATGTAGTTTAAGCCCCCTCTTTGTAGGACCACCCCTCCGCATTTAATGGGGCTTCCACTTGTCGTGTGTTTTATGTCGATTTCATTTTCATTTGACTCTCTCCCATGCACCCAGGGTCAAGTGCATGCCACATTAATGGGAAACTTTTTCAGCACCCAAACCCCAGTCACACACAAACACACAGGCAAGATTTCCTCACGAGCGTTTCCTCGCTTGCACACTTTCAAAAGGATGTAAAGTAAGCATACAAAGTGGAAAATTTATTAAGGAAATTGCGTGTATTACACGCAATCCTTACTACATGCTGGAGGAACTCCGTGGCGAGTGTGTCCTTCCCTCGAATAAAGGATGAAGGCTGGAAAATCGGAACAATGAAAAGTGCGAAAACATCATATGAAGAGCATTTCAAGAGACCTATTGATTATCGGAACGTTTAAAAGCTAAACTGATTTTCACCCTTTTAGAAGGGAAATCCCCTTTAAGGAAAGCCATATTTATATGAGTTCATTAACCTCACTGCCTGTCTCACTTTATAGCTGTTTCTGTTTTCTCTTTCTCTCGGTGCATTGGGGGTCCCAGTGGCTTTCGCTTTTTCCAAGATGTGGTTTTTGGGGGCTTCAGCGGCCTGTGAAATCCTTTTAATGGCATAAACGGGTTAAGCATTTTGGTGACGTGAATATGAACACAGCAGCAAATGTCCATCCTTCCTGCCTTCCTTTTGGGCAGGACATGTCCGGAACGAAATTATCTGGTTTTTATCAGTTATCCCGTAAGGCTTCACTCTGGCTTATGTTGCTGTAGCCTTAAAGCTTGAAATTTCATTTATGACTGGAACGGTCAGCACGTATAGTTGCTCCTGCTGCTGCCGCTCCTGGGATCGACTCTGCCTCTCTCTTTTTCTCTCTCTCCATACACATTGTATGCACATACATATGTACCTTTCAAAAATGGCAAACAAAAGCACACGTGACAGACAAAGAAAAAAAAACAGTCTGCAAATCGTTCATTCCGAGCCTTGTGAAAACCCCAAAATCCCAATCCATACTGCTCCCCATCTGCTGCTTCATTTGTTTTAGTGAAGAGGAAGACAGGGTGAGCGAGTGTGTGTGTGTGTGTGTGTGTGTGTGTGTGTTTGTGCAATTTTAGCAGACAGTTTTCCCGAAGCATTTGCTTAATTTAATTTTGCCTGCCTGAACGGCTGCTGCTGCAGCTGCTGCTGCCGCTGTTCGTTCTCCCACTTGGATGGGTCCTACGTCCAGTTTTCCACCAACTCCGACGCTGCACGAAAAAGTCTCACTGAGCTCTCCTTTCGCTTCGGTAGCAGCACAAGGGAATAGTTGAACCCCTAACATTTCTCTCAGTGCAAGCATCCATCCTCTCCGAGGACCAGTCAATCGTACCGCCTCAAAAAAAAAACCAGATTCTCTCAGTGCAAGCGATGAGGCTGCTCTACCCCTGCCACCACTTCGCGCTTCAGTGGATGCCAGCGCCACCGCCTCCTCCCATCCTCCTTTTAGGCCAGCAGTTTGTGTTTTCTTAAAATTTGCAATTAATCAACTTAACGGTCACGATGGGGACTCTGTCACTCTCTGTCTCTGCCTGAGCTGTCTGTAAGGAAATCATTCTCATGTGGAGACCCAGTGGTGTCCTTGTAGCACCGCCTGCTGCCCCATTCGGGCTCTCAGATGCCACATCACATAAAGTGTGTGCGGTGAGGGAGGGGACAAGGTGACAATTGTTCATTTGTTGATGCCACTGCTGGCCCCTAGAAAAAGGGGGAAAAATGAGAAACAAGAAACAAACCGAAAAATCGAAGAGAGCCAGGGTATTTTGGGTCTGTATGATTCCATTCTATCTATTTCTAATGAAAAACCTTTAATATTTAAATAAGACCAAAAATGGTTAAATATTACTGGCAGAATGGTCAATTTGGATAATTTTTCAGCACGTACTCGTATTCGTATCCTCTTGTGAAAATATGGTCCGAAATGAAGGATTTTTCATTTTGTTGAGCTTTTCTTTTGCAATTTCTCTTGTGGGGCTTTTCAATTTCTGGTCGAAAAGCTATACGATGATAACCAATGATGGACTATTAGTGAGGGACAATGATGGAAAGAACTTCACTTCGAGTAGATTAAAGGAAGACATGGATGGACAAGATGGAAACAGAACAAAGAGGAACAGAAAGAAACACGAGTAAGAAACGAGTTAAGAACGATGGGTGGAAACCAGAGTACCGAATGGATGAAACACATAGCAATAAATGGAAAGAGACGACAGGAGAAGAGCTCTCTAGATTTCTAGTTGCCAATAGAAAATTGAAACAACTTTCTGTGCCAGCCATCAAAACACTTGCATCCATTCCGATTTTTGGCATTCGACTAACCTACGCTCACCCCAAAAAATAATGCTATTACACAAGCATACGTACATATGTGTGTCCCTACATATTTTCGTAAAATGTTCGAAGACGAACCCTTCCATTTGTTCCACGTTCTTGTCGGCTCCCTGTCCGCTTTTTGGGGGCCTCTGGTGGCCACTCTGGTGGTCAACACAATCAGGACGCAGTCATCGCTTGTTGGCACTCCATTCCTAACATTTTCAACGCTAGATCCTTCTTCCTTTCTCTCACTTCCTTTCTCTCAATCTCTCTCTCTCTCTCACCGCTCTGACATAACTCCAAATGCACTTGCTGACAGGCATTGAAAACACACCACAAACTGTAGATTATGCTACTGCCACTGCCACTGTTAGTGCCACAGTTAGTGCCACAGCCCCTGGGGCGCTTTCTCCGCCCACTGTTCGGGGCTTGTTATAAATCACAAAATAGGTAAAAAAAAGTGTACTAGAAGTAAGAAGAAGAGGAGCATCAGCCGCAAAGGTAAAGGTAAAATTATCTAACAAAATGCTGTCCGAACATCGTGGCAAAGCGGCAGGGCACAAGGAGAACTGCAAATAGTTGCCTCGTAAAATAGGATCGCCTACTGCCACACCCGCCTCACCCATACCCATTTTTTAAGTGTTTTTAGTTACTGAAAAAGAGTAAGCAAACTTATCTTCCTCCAATTGAAACCCTTCTTTTTTGTAGAGCTCTGCAGAAATTCTAAGAATTTTAGCAGCATTGGAGAACTTTAATTCAAATTCGAATACTCTACTCTGTTGTCCCTTAAGACTCTTATTAAGTCTGATGTTGAGCCGAGCAACTTAATTGTATCAATTATCACAAAGGGTATTATGTATTCGTACATACTAATCACCAAGCAGAGAAAAGTTTTCTGCAGCTGCGCTGTGCCAACCCGTACTGAATGAAGAAAGCAACAGAAGAAACTTACGAATAAAAGAGAGAAGGAGAGCAAAACGTTTTTGTACGCGTTCCAGCGACGCCACACGCGACGCTGCTCAGTTTCAGCATCCCATCATTCTCTCTCACCCCCCTCTAGACAAGAACATGCAGAAGACGAAAAGAACAATATATGTATGTGTGTATGTATGTACATACGTATTTATTAGACGCAATCAGCCGCATGTAGAAACCCATGTAAATTGCAACAACAATATTTGCAAATGCTCTTTGCTCGTTCCTTCGCCTTGAAAGAAAAGCAACAACACATTCCGCGACATACGGAACGGTACTTCTTTTTGTAATGAGGGATAATGCGAATTAAATAATACTCTCGAATAATGCAGGGCTCTATATTTTAGTTATTCTAATCAGCCACCGCTTTCCTTCTGGGAAAACAAATCTGGACTTTTTACGTCTCTGTATACATACTTTTCACCATTTAACATTGATTTTAGGCCTACATTTCGTGCAGCTCCTACCATCTATGTACACATTATCCTGTATGTATGTGTATGTATGTATGTATCTGGCGTCTCTCTTTGTAAAAGTAACAATGACCGAATTCCTGCGGTGCTGCTGCCCCACGGTCGCGCTGCTTGCGCCAACAAAAAATGCAGCAGTACAAAAGTTTAAAGTTACGTTCCCCTCTTACTAACACTCTCATTTGATTCTCTGTTTCTTCCAATTGACAATTGAGTCGCTCTTCTGCCAAAGGGTGGGTGGAGTGAGAGGAGAAGTGGGCATCCCACACCCACACACACATAGCCAAATGAGAAGCAGCCAAGCCAAAATGCCGCAAGCATTATACGCGGTCGCCACTGCTGCAGTCTCGGAAACGGTAAAAACACTAGCGGAATGCAAGTATTAATCTGGTCGAAACGAAGCCTTTGATACCCTCACTGACAGCATAGAATACCGAAAGGCCAGCCCAAAGATTCATCTTATCTTGAAACGGTATCAAAAAAGTGTTAGAGCCGACGTCAAGTTGGCAGACGCAGAGGTAGAGGCAGGGACAAAGGCGTAGGACATTCCATAATGCCTGCCATGGCTCTCATGGGATACGTAGCTGGAGCAGGAGCAGGAGCGCCCTGTAGGGCGAATGCCGCATTAAAACAAATAAAATCAAATGAAGAACGGCCTTATTGCCCACTGAACATTTTTTATGGGCGGGCCATTCAGCTCTGCTTTAAATTTCTCTTTAAATACAACAACAAGCTTTGCTGTTATTACATTTGTGTGAGTAATCAATTTGATGTGTGTGAGGATAAATATATAAACAACTGCAGGGCTCCGCCACCAGGGTTGGATGAAAAGCACTAGCAGCCCTGCCACACGACTATCGAATGGATTAATTACACATCAAAACGAAAGTAAAAGAGCGATCGTTTGGTATTCCAAAATTATTTAATAAATAGCATCATCCCTTTCCAAATGATTTATCAATAAAAAGAACAATTTACAATTAAAGTGACTCCAAAGCCCATGCGACTATATCGATATCAAATATCGCATAGATATCGATGTCAAGACCTTGCTGTCAGGGTAAATGCAACTCTAAGACAGCTCTCTCATTCTTTTCTTTCTGTGCCTTGGTGACGTGCGTGCGCGAATAATTTTGTAGCTGCAAACAAAATCTACGGGAATCTATTGCAAAATTATCAGATTTTCGTAAACAAAAAGTGAGAAATAAAAGTAAATTTGCGTTTCGACCCTTTGGTACACGTATTTTTTGTTTTTCGCCAGTAGATTGTCATATTTTGAGCCCATGGATCAGAATCAGATGACGAAATTAAACAAGCTCAATTCCATAGAAGAGCCTGCCGATGAGGGGTATGGTATCAACTTCTTTTCTGATTCTGTGCTTGAGGAATCATTTTTGTACAGTTTCCAGCCTGAAAATAATGCAGCTGCCTTGATGGGCACTGGCGAAGAGGCAACGGCACCGATACAATTCCAAGGTGAGAAGCCAATGAATCACGGGCCTGCTACTTCGCAGGCGCAGGTGGCTGAAGCAGGACGCTCAACTCCGCAGCAGAATTCTGCTACTGAAGTCAAATCGCCTCTCCCCTTACGACTGGATGAGCCTTCGCAATATACCTGCACTTTAAGCAGTGACGAGGAAGAGGAAGACATTTCTGAGGATAACTATTCGGTTTCGGGTGCTGCATCCACAACCCCCTCGCCCAAGAAGAACACAAAGAAGAAGTTGCGCAACCGCCTTCGCTTCCGCCACAAGGTTTTCGAAGGCATGTCGGGTTTGGAAAAAGTCTTAGAGTACTTCAGCGTTCTCGTTGCCGACAAACTAGTTGGTACTCTTGTTACCGACGCGACATGCGCTATAGCGATCGGAGAGGTTATCGCCGACATGGGCTTTCCCGCATGCAAAGCTTCTGCCATTGCACTTGACGTCAATAAGTTTTTCGATGCCGCTATTAGGAACAATACACAATCCCAAGGTGAATTGGGATCAATACTAACTTTCGTCAATACTAACGCTAACAATCCGACAGATAACACATTGGTAATCCAACCTTTCCATTTACGAGTTGCTGACCAACTCGATGCCAACCAGAGAGCTGAAAGAATTTTCATGCTGAATAAGATGTACATGGCTGTCAAATTCGAATCTTCGCTAGAGGAATGGGAGGCAAGCAATGCGCTGACGAAATCGGAAAGTGAAAAACAAAAATTTTACGAGTGTTTGAAAGCAGCCTCAGATCGCCTGACGCAAGAAGTAGATGCCAACCATGAGAAGGAAAAAAAAGAGAAATTGACGGATTCGAAAAAGATTATTAAGCAATTGTTGTTGTCAAGCTGCTCTGGCGGGGGCGCAAGTGCAGGAGTGGCCGACAAGACTGTTGCAACAGCCGGAGGTGTCGGTGACGACACTTCCATGGACTTCAACGGCAACCGCCGCGAATTATTATCTGAATCATTGTCACCAAAAGAGGGAACCGAACTGGATCCTTCTGAAACTGCAACTGAAGATTCCTTCCCCCTATGGGTATAGGGTAACTGGTAAATACAGGCCAATGGTATGGGGAAAGGGAAGGGAATGCATAAAAAGGATGAGGGTCACAAAAATGAGGGAAAAATTGAACGTAAAACGAACCGAGAATCCTAACTAAATTATATAATATATTTAACTAACACTGAACACAAAAACAATAGAGAGAGAAGAAACACAAGAGAAAAAGAAAGCCAAAAATACTGTAAAACACACAAAATTTAATTTGTAAGGTATTTTTTGTATAATCCCATTTTTTATACAAAACTGAAATATACAAAACTGAATTATTGTGTTCGTCCATTGGATCTGTTCAGTAATATGGCATTATCTCGATAATAAATTAAATCGTTAATTTGGATATACACAACATAGTATAAAAATGGGATAAATATATATATATATAAATTTAAATATAAATATAAATATAAATAAATATGATAACCTATTTCTTAGCTTAACCTTAGTTTAACCTTTAATTTTATCTGCAAACTGTCTTCGGGTGTGGTGCACTTGCTGCAACTCGATTCAATTTTTCAAAAGTTTATTTTTATACCCGGTACTCGAAGAGTAAATAGGGTATATTGTATTTGTGTAAATAACGGTTGTATGTAAAGCACAGAAGGAAACGTTTCCGACCCCATAAAGTATATATATTCTTGATCAGCATCAGTCGAGTCGATAGAGCCATGTCTGTCTGTCTGTCCGTCTGTCCGTCTTGTTTGTCGGCTAGTTCTCAGAGACTATAAGAGCTAGAGCCACCAAATTTTGGCTCCGGACTGCTGCATGCTCACACTGAACCCAGTGTATTTCAAAAATTAGGCCCGCCCCCGCAAAAGGGCGAAAACCTCCCAAACCTACAATTTTGAAGATAAAAGAAAACTAAAAATGCGATCATCCAAATCACCAAATTGGGATCCGATTGAACCCACCGATTAACCCACCCGTCCCGCAGCTTATATTTGTTTTTTTTTTGTGTGCGGGCGCTGCCTCTGTGTTGTTGATGTAGATGACAGATGAAGGAAAAATTTAAAATTTGACAAAACACCGCTAAGGTGCAGAAGTAGTCCTGAGTGCCGGATATAAAAGTTGTGACGCGTAAGAAGCGTCTCGCACGTCCCTTCTCGTTTCGATATCCTTCTGGGAACACACTCTTTATTTTCGTTGCTCAGAGATTGTTCGCGGAAACACTTTGAACGCATGAAAAGTCATGAACAATTAATTAAACCAGCATTTAAGGGAAACATGGTCTTGCCCCCAGAGCCCCTCTCTTTGGGTGGGTGGGGGTTTGAGGCACGAAACTAATCTGAGCCTCGAAAAATGTACGAAAATTAATCTGCACATAAATTAAGCATTAAAATTTAATATATTTGTTTATGGGGTTGCTTCCTCGTGGCAGGCAGGGAAGAGGCAGGCAGTGGCATGCCGGATGTGGCGTGTAGAACACTCCGTGTGTGTGTGTGTGTGTGGTAATAAATAAATAGCAAAAAGGTAATAAAACAGGCAAGAGGGGAAAGGAGGAGAGAGTCAAGGCGGAAAAAGTGCTGCAAAAATTATATGGAGCGACAGAGAGAGAGAGAGAGTGGCGGGAGTTGCTGCTGTGTGTGGGGCAGGAATCTGGCTATGCCTGCAAAATGGAGAAGCAGTAGCAGCAGCACGAAAGGAGTCTGCCACGCGTGTGGCAGTAGCAATGCGCGAATCCCTGCCCGGAGAAGATTGTCCGTCGGTATAGCAGGAGAGTAGAGTGCCATGGTGCGGCACGCAGGAGAGAGGCAGGGACCATGAAGCGGCACGCTGGAGAGCGGGAAATGGAACCGAGTCGACCAGAGTCTGTGGCTGCCGCTTAGCGCTTGAAGGAATCTGCACAACTGTTCGCCCATTATCGTATTAGCACATGCCACCAGTGATTATTATGAGGTGGGACACCTCCTGCTTCTCCCGCTGCAGCTCCTTCTTTTGTCTATGGATGCGTATAATTAATTTTGGACACACACATCCACATCCCCTACCACCATTTCTGACAAAGAATCATTTATGTTGGGGAGACAATAGAGATAACTTGGCCTTGGTGTCTGCTCGTCATAACAACAGCCCAGACGTTCAAAAGGAGCACCATTATACCCTAACGGTATAAGTCGCATATCCGCCTATGAATTGTAAACATAAATTTAGAGAAAAGCATTTTGCTCTGTGCCAAGTATGACCAGAGTAAGAAAAGTGCATGCTCTCTGGGTACACTGTTTTGTGTTTGTTTACAAAATGAAACCCGTTAAAAATTCAAAGTATGTATGAAAGCAGGAGGAGTGTGTTATTGTAAAATGGATATGGGATATGGGAAAGCATTATTGATTGTTATCTTCTTCGTATCGTGATTCTGTTAACCGAAAGTTAACCGAATCTATCTTTCGCTTAGCGATGGAGGTATTTAATCGGCTAAGTTATAAAATTCTAAATTCTAAGAGTGAAACAGAGAACGTCGGTAAATAGTAAAGAGTGCTGTAGATGTAGATGACAGATGAAGAACAAATTTTAAATTCGGCAAAACACAGCTAAGGTGCAGATGTCTCACACGTCCCTTCTCGTTTTATTTACAATCTGTCTGTTTAAACAATAAGTAAATTGTATAATTAATATTAAATTAACAGAAATAGCAGTTTTCCAATGAGCCCTGCTATTATATGTATGAGCTGAAAGCTGTTTGGCATTTGATAGTATTTTGTGTGCAAATGTTTGATGATTGTATTGTCATTGATATTTATCTGCAATAATTCATGAAAATATGAAACTCCATTTAGCCTTTTTGTTGGCTACTTGGAATGGAACGGAAGATGGATGAAAATGAATGAAAGGCCCCTAAGAACAGGGGCGGCCTCATTAGGCTGTGTGAAAAATAGTCCTGGCCGCCAGGAGGACTGGACCCAAGCCTTCGAACAGAGAGGTAGGAGACACATACACATTCATTCGCTTTTGTGTCGCTGTTTGTCCTTTCTAATGAAATACGCATTATTTTTTGGGGGACAGATGGAGAATTTAATATCTGGCTACAAGGATTTTCCCCATCACCCGCTCCCCCTTCATCATGTGTCGCTATGTGTTTCGTGTGGTCGTCGCCTGTCATCCGCAAACGATGTCATTCATTTTCAGTGCCTCACATGTTTCAGTGTTCCCCCTCCCTGCCAACCCACTGCACAATGATCCACTTGGCAATGGAGTCCTTGTGCATGTGGAGGGGGAATGGGAATGTGTTGCGAACATGATTCAAAGGACATTGTGTCTTGGTCTGGTCTGGCCTGCTCTGCTCGGGTCTCGCAGCCGCTTCTAAGGGAGGCTTAAGTGTTTATTAATATCGACTCGTGTGAACGGGGACATGTGTTGTCCCTAAATTGACTTTGCCTCCGGTAACTGATAAGGTCCACCTCCCCACCCCCGATTCCATGGGAAGGAAGGACCTCAAGGACACACCGTGTTGTAGTTATTGTAACAAGACATTTGTGATTGGTATCGAAGTGGCCAACATAACAGCACAGAGCAGGCAACAGCTGGGCACACTGCCCCTCATCCTCACAGACATCTCCTTTCTCCGCTCCAAAGGCAATTATAAACTTCCTTATTAAGCCCTCACCACCCTCACCACCCTGAGTAAAGCAGGTCACGGGGTCATGCGAAAAACTTATTTTTCTTGCAGCTCTTTTGAGTGCTCTTTCAATTATTGTAATCTCATTTTTAACGGCAACTCTTATATCAATATTTTTTAAAGCCGTTACTCTCCTGCTTTTCATCTTCATCTTCATCTCTCTCTTTTCTCTTCCTTTTCTCCTGCTTTTCTGGCTCTTTCTGATATCTTTCCTGCTCTGCCAAAACAAATTCTTTTTGGAAAACTTTCTTACGTTTTTCTGCAACCTGGAAATACTACTGCAGCATTCCTTTACTCCTTGGCAACACTGCCAACACACACACACACACGCACATGTAGGGGGGGCTTGTACCAAAACTATTCCAGATATATGTATGTATGTAGTTGTATGTAGTAGTCCCTGACCAGCCATTGCGACATTTAAATCAAAATTCTTGCTACAAAAAAAAAGAAGACCAGCTGCAGAGGAATTAAGATCTATTCGAGCTCCAACTACAGTGACACAAATGTGAAAAGGACCTAGCGGATCCAAAACGCTAGTCAGACACGAGGGAATGGGATGGGAATCGGATGGGAAGAAACCATGGCCCATAGAGTATGAAACGGACTCGAAAAATATCCTCATATCTACCCTTGTATGTAGAATAAAAAAAATTATCAACTGCTTTACACTTAACTTATTATAGAAAGGATTATAAATTGCAGCATACCTCCGCCTGATAAGAAAAGGTATCGAGGCTAAAGAGAAACGATTCGAAAACAAAAGATCCAGACAGAAAACGCTGCGCCCCCTCGAAACAGGGGCATTTTCTGCAATAAATTCAACTTTTCCGGGGCATGCCACAAACACACACTCGCACACACATGTCCATAAATAGCAATTCAAGAAAAAACTTTGCGCACCCTTCTAGAAGATTTTTGTTGCCGTTCTTTTTTTGCCCCGTTCAGCGGTTGCGACTTTTAATTTTATTGCCAAGGTCCGAAAGGAGTTTTGGGGGTTCGCTCATATTCCACTATGGTTATGGGGTAGCCAATTGGTCTGTCTGTGTGTTGGGGGTTGGGCGTTGGGGATTCCCCAGCCAAAATTGGTTGGTAGCCTTCACTCCTGCATATATCACCAGAGACCAACCCCACAATTGTGTGTGGTATGCCTCTGATTGCTTCATAAATAATTGCAGCCAGACTTTTGGTGTGGGGTTTGTGGGGTGATCTATTGGAATGTGGCATGCATCACCGAACAGCCAAATACGAATATTCCCTTTAACCAGTACGAGGTACTAAAAATAAGTAATACACAGGCAAAAATGATGAACTCGTTTACTTTGAATCATTATCATCAGCAATAGGTGGGAAATTGTCCAAGAAGTAGTAATGGAAAGGCATAATTTGTATTTCTTTATTTCATGCTCAGGAAGGGACTCCGCGTTTGTGTGAATTTGTGTTCTGCTTTGCTGGCAACTGTTTGGTGGAGAGTGTTTCAGTTTTGTGTAATTTCTGGAATAGGAAAATGCATCATAAGCGAGTCTGC